CGGGAAAGGCGGCCCAGCACTCTGGGCCAAGTGCTGGTGGCCCCGTCGAGCCGGCCGTGCAGCTACAGAGAGCCCGTCAGTGCTTGGAAATGAGCAACAGCTGCGTGGCCGGTTCCTGTGCAGCTCCCACTGGAGCGCAGGGCAGAGAGCAGGCTGACAGGCCCAGAGGCCGGACAACCAGCGCCTTCCAGGAGGGAGCTGGACGTCCCAGGGCTCGAGAGGGGCCCAGCTGTGCTGTGCCAGGCAGCCGGTGTCTTCCGAGACTTCCCTGCGAAGATCCGCCTCAAAAAAGGAGTAGCAAATCCTGCAGGTCTTCCCATGGCTCAACGGTTAGCACAGCTTCTGCACTCCTGATGTTTGGCTGTGACAGAGATAAATACATCAGAAAGACAAGTATTTCACAGGCAAGCTACAAATCCAAGTGCCTGGCAGCAGACGACTGGAAGAAAGTCAGCAAATCGTTGCATCTTGAAATCAGCTTGACAACCAACATGACTGTGTAGTGACGGGGGCTTATTATTGCCATACTTTCCCCCTCCAAACGCTTGGCAAACAGATTTACACATTGTGCGCACCATAAAGGAACTGAAATTCAGGCACTGCTGCAACTGCCGACAACAGCATGGGGCAGCAAACAAAAGGCTCCTTTATCCCTGCTGTGATGATTTGGGGAATCTTATCTACAGTTTATGAATTTGGATTGATAGTATCAAATTGCTAGTATGACAGTCACTGAATCAGGAAATGTCTTTGTGTAGTCACCTTTCCTAACAAGGCCTCTTGCGTCCCTAGCAGACCAGGGAACTTAATGATAGTATTTTAACTGAACAGTGGGAATGCTAATGAGCTTTGCTGGACGAGGGAGGAGAACCTACATTTTTTACCTGTTTGTAGGAAGGAGATTTGGGAAAGGGAGATTCATCAAATAGGACACGGAGATGAGGGGGGAGGTTAAAAAGGACTTTGAACAAAAGGAAAGCCAGCTACATTGGAAACTTTGAGCAGGAGAGGGAAGTAATGGGTAGGCTTTCATAACAGCAGAGTGGGTTAACTACAAGACCTACCAAGGTCATCAAAGGCAAGCAGAGCTGCAATACTCTGCAGTCAGAAAATAAGCCAGGAGCTGCAGAACAAAAATCCTGAATAGCTTGATCTCAGACTATGCTCCAGAGTGTGGAAGCAAGTTAGGCAGGAAAATGGCCATATTTTTAGGTGTTTTTGCCTGGATCTGTTTATTTCCCATGCCACAAGGTAAAGAGGAAAGAGACTTCAGAATCTTGTGCAAGTTTAATTTCTAACCAGTATCACACCTCGAAGAATTCAGTTTTAGCTATAATGACCTGCAGGTAGGTTCCTGAAGGTTGAAACACATGTTGTAGTGGGGATGATTTGGGGAGTGACACCAGGAAGCTCCATGTACTTGGAAAATTTCGCAGTATTTCTGAGCACACCCAGTAGGGCATGGCTTTTCTAATAAAGACCCACATTTTTGCAATCCAGATCGACTACCTTGATTATTGGGAGAGGGTGCATTTAAGCTATTGGGTTGTTATGGGGATAAGTGCTGCTCTTAGGTGTTTGAAGTAGATAGACTGAAGGGTTTAAGTTCCAGGAAGGAGGAACAGACAGGGAGACTGTGCCTGGGAGATGTGGTAGGCAGGCCAAGAAACTAAACAATGCTGCAACCTACTGATACCCACAAAAGCATAAACACCGATGGAGTGAATTTGAACCTAATGCAGCAGGCAGGTAAGTGTCCAAAACAGAGAAGCCCAACCAGATGGGTGATAAATAGATTGAGAGGTGGAGTTTCCAGAACATAAAATAATTTGCTAAGCTACAGTCTAGCTATTTCACTACAATTACCATCCTTGGTCTTCTGAGAAAAAGTATGTTGGGATTTTAAATTATGGCAGGTGGTCAGGACATCTGTTCTGAACCTCACTTCCAAAAATAGAATCTCTAGGCACAAATAGTCCAGACACCTTGCCACACCCATTCAATGGTGATTCAGGGACAAGTGCTGCCAACAGAATGCTACAATTTCCTGCCATGGTTGTTTTTATATAGGGAGACTGTCCATTTAAGCATCACCCAGACACATCCTGTTTAGCTTGTGAATCAGGTAAGATCACCATCCAAGCTGGTATGATATCATGCCATGCCACAACCTTGAAGAAGGCACAGAGAGAATGGTTTTTCGGTTGTACAAAGGACTTGATTATTTTTAGCTGTGTCAAGGTGAGCTGCTTTCTACAGGTTTGGTAGAAGCAAAGCTTGAACCTGTTCTGTTGTATTTTTGAGGTTATGCAGCAGTTAACCCCATGGTTCTCAACTTTGTTAGGCTCAAGGCACCCCTCAGAAAATGCCAGCTCTTAGTTTTCACTCATTTTTGGACTACAGAAAAATAATAGAGCAATTATTCTATTGCAAAGAACTCAGACCACGAGAGGTCAAAATGTTTTTTTTAACATTTTGGATCCCTACCTGAAATATCTGGGTTTGTACTGTGAATCATGTTTATACACCTAACAGTGCTAATATTATATGGCACCCTTGAAAGAATCTCAAAGCACCCCAGGGTGACACAGCACTGACCCTGATTAAAAATCTCTGGGCTAACCAATCGCAGATTGTTACTGTTTGTCTTCTGGATAAATTAATCAAACAGAGAAGCTGATTGAAAACTACTTCAGTTTCCTAAATAGTACAAGGAGAAAGCCATTCAAAAGGACCGGATAAAAACATCTAAAGGAAACATCTGGCAACCTGGACAATCTCCATTAGGTGTACAATAAAACAAGAAAAATCAATGCCGGTTTTATCGGAGAAGCTTTTTAAAAGTACTTGGAATCCTGGTGGCTTCTCAAATAACGTATCATCTGAGCACACTAAGTTTCTTGGAACAGTAGGTAGCTCATATAGCTGCAGTTATTAATTTCACATGGTTCTTTCCTATAGGACCTTTCCACTGAACTATGCAGAGAAAACAATAGAAAGCCACACACTTGCAGGAGTTTATAGCTAGAGCTAAAGAGGCTATACTGAAAAGAACATTGTTTCCTTTTAAGAACTCATTTAGAACTAATGCACTTGGCTGAGTTAGGTAGGTGATAAAGATACAGGCGACCCTTGCCATTCGCAGGGGATCTGTTCTGGAGATCCCTGCAAATGGCGAAATCCGCGAATATGGCACTGCGTTCATGAATGTCATGAATGCAATGCCCCCGGCAGTTGGGGAGGGGGCCACGGCTGCACTGGCATCGGTGGGAGCCCAGTGGCAGCAGCAACTGCGGAGCTCCTGAGGAGTTCCTGTAAGTGTGTTTAAGATGCAGGTTGGGCATTCGTGAATATTTGAAACCGCGAATGCCAAACCCACAAATAGCGAGGGTTTCCTGTATTCTCAAATAGAGCCTGCCTCTTCTCTTGTATTGTTGTAACCTCCCATAAATGTCTTTCAGAATCACATCAGTAAGCAGTGTTCATTCTTTGCAGCATTCAAAATTAATGCAAGAGGAAGCAGATGCTTTATCTTTAATGTGTGCCTGTACTTTTCCTTCTCTAACAAAAACTATTTCAGTGGTGCTTAGGAATTAGATTTACAGAAAAAGGAAAGATGATGAGGGAAAACAAACAACACAGGAGATTTGATACATGTTGTCTGTTTATGTCCTAAAATGGAACCATATAGGCAAGAAACTTAGAGACTGTCAAATGTGAGATGTCAGTGGAGCCACAAATCCTATTCCTTGTTCTAGCTAAGAAAAACAAACAAACCAGTACTGATCACACTGCTAAAGACAAGACACTGTACTTAATGGATGATTGGTCTGATCCATAATGGAGATTCCAACATTCCTTTTATTTAAAACCTATGTGGTAGCAATTACCTATGCTGATATAGATCGTTGAAAGAAAAGATCCACCAGTAACAGTTTAATAAATGCTAGGAAACTCCCTTATCAAAACAAAACTGTGCGTGAGAGTGAGACAGACAGATATTTTTTAAATAA